CAGCTCAATTAACCTAGTCTAGCTATGCCTAAGTGATAAATGGATGTTAAATTGTTTAATTAAACGTGTAATTGTACTGGCAGCGGTGTGGTGTGACAGCCAACCAGTCTGATGTTCTGATGTTATTGCAACATTATCGCTGTGTTGCTATTGTAATGTTATACTCATTGGTCAGATTGTTTTTGATGAAGGTTTTTGTCGTTGTTTAGTGCTATAATATTAAATTGCTTAATTGGTTGGTTGGTTACTTAGTTGGTTGGTTGGCTGGTTGGTTGGCTGGTTGGTTGACTGGTTGGTTGGTTGGCTAGATGATTGGCTAGTTGACTGGGTTATTCATTGTTCGGTTTGTTCATTGGTTGATAGATTGATATGTTTCTATTGCGATAGACTGATTTGAACAATATCCGATCTAATTAACGATTGTTTGGTCAATTACACGGTCGGCATTCTGGTCAGTAGATGGGTTTATTGATCATTAACTCATTAACATAATTGATAACAAACATAAGAATCAATTAATTTGCGGGTTTCATGAAAAAATACATAAAAGACTATCGAGACTGATGATTGGTTGGTTGAAACAGTTGGACGATCTATTTATTATATTCTACCTTTTATTTTGTTTCTTCCCACTTCTAAGATTTTAACTTCATTGATCTCTCGACGCGCCAATTTAAAAATGAATGTTAATCCTTCGTAATATCGATTACACTCAACGTTATCTGACTCTGCTTGCGTGATATTAGCGCATAAGGGGATGAACGAACAAACGAACGAACAAACGAACGAACGAACGAATGATTGCATGAATAAACGAACGAACGAATGATTGCATGAATAAACGAACGAACGAATGATTGCATGAATAAACGAACTAACGAACGAATGAATGAATATGAATGAATGAATGAATGAATGAATGAATGAATGAATGAATGAATGAACGAACGAACGAATGAATGACTGCACTAACAAACGCACGGCGCAGCCCACCTATGAATTATTACTTTAAGCATTTAATCATTAATTGCAGAAAAATCCATTTTTGGCTAAGCTTTTTATGATTGATAATTATTAATTTTTATCACCATCCATTGCAACATTCACCGTTTTATGGTAAGTTATCTTTCTATTTTTATATTTTTTAATAATTATTATTCTTTCTTATTTCATTGTTATTGTATTATGTAAAAAGTGTTTTTTATTATTATTTTTATCCTTTCGTAATTAATGTTAGTGAATTTTTAATTAACCATGTTTCTTATAAATTAGCCTTTGTCTGCTATTGCGTGTGAGTTGCTCATTTTGGGATATGCGCATATGTGTGTGTATGTGAGTGCGTGCGCGTGTGTATGTGTGAGTGTGTGACTGTATGTGTGTATGTTAAATGATAGGTACGTGTGTGTGTGTGTGTGTGTGTGTGTGTGTGTGTGTGTGTGTGTGTGTGTGTGTGTGTGTCTGTATGCGTATGTTAATTGATAGTTACTTGCGTATGTGCATACATGTATCTTAGTGAATATACGTATGTGTGGTAAAGACACACACTCACACACGCACACACATACACACACATATATACATACATACACACACAAACACATATATTTATACATATAGGATGTGTTTTGATGTGCATGTGTGTGATAATCCATTATTTTCATTACATATACACACATACACACGCACATACTTAGATATACGCACTTACACACGCGTATGTCCGTGCATGTGTGTGTATGCATTGATATGCGCTTGAACATATAAATTTGCAGGTATATGTGCAGTGCAATTACATGTGTTTTGATGTGCATGTGTGTTTCAATGTGTGAGTGTCTTTGTGTGTGTCCGTGTGTGTGTGTGTTTTGTATGTTTAGTTGGGTGGATATGTTTGCATACTCTGCAATGTGGTTTCGATTTCAGTTCGTTTAGTTAAACGTTCGTGTGTGTGTGTGTGTGTGTTGTAAATTGAATTGTTGTTTGTTTATCAATGATGATTTTATGTCCATTAAATATTTCTTTGCTCTGAATGAAATATTATTTTAAAATTTTAATAGGTCCAAATTTAAATGTTTGCTTAATACTTTAAATATGTACTTTGACATTTTGGATAATTGACAAACTACTTTTAAATGGGCCACATGTGCACATTTACGCACACACGCACACACACATACATACACACGCACACACATACACACGCACACACATACACACGCACACGCACGCACACACACACGCACAGGTCCAAGATGGCTTCATGAGGATAGATTCCATCCACACATCCAGAGACTTTCAGGGACCAACGTGAGGATCGTCTGCGCGTCCACCGGAAATCCCAAACCTTCAACATACTGGTTCAAAAATGGTGAACTGATTCGTAATCCACCAACTGAGAAGGTGATGGCGATGATTGTAATGATGATGGTGAGGATGTTTATAATGATGATGATGATGTTCAGGATTGTAATGGCGATGATGACGATCATTTTCAACTAATCAACTGTTACAGGATTGATGATTGAGGACTAATGATGATGATGACGACGACGATGATGATGATGATGGAGAGGAAGAGGATGACGATGATGAGGATGGTGGAGTTGCTATATAGGATGATGGTGGCGGGGATAGCGCCTTTACTTACGAATGCATAATCACATGCTTTGATTTTTTTTGCAAGCAGTTTATTGGAGGGGTGGATGATGAATTGACTGACTGACTGATTGATTAATTAGTTGACTGACTGACTGACTGACTGATTAATTGGTTGACTGATTGATTGATTAAGTGATTGATTGGCTGAACGCTTTAAAAAAGAAGAAAAAGTTGTCTGATTTGTTGGAGCTTAAAGGAAAGAGTGAATGAATAAAAATTGCAGAATGAATTAATGAATGGATGAGTGAACTGATTGAATGACGAAACGAAGGAATGACTGAATGGTATGAACATTCAAATTGACTAAACAAATATTATTTTAAAATTGAAAGTATTGAGTTTACATATTTAAATGTCCTTATAGCTTATACTTGCATACCGATACAGACAGACACAAACAAACACGCGCAAACACACACACACACACACACACACACACAAACTTAACTTGCTTATATTATGTTTAGGACATTACAAGTAAATTAAATAAAATGAATTTACTCTATAATTGCTAAAAGTAATTTGGGAAAAATAAACGAAAAAATGAATGAATGAGTGAATGAATGAATGAATGAATGAATGAATGAATGAATGAATGGGTGAATGAATGAATGAATGAATGAATGAGGGAGTGAATGATTGAATCAGTGATTATCATTTATGACTTTGTCATGTTAATATTTTGAAATATTGATTTATTCCAGAACCAAACGGTCCTGAAGTTGACAAATTTGTTCGAATATGATTCGGCCAACTACACCTGCCTGGCTAGGAATGTCTTTGGATCCATCAACAAGACGTCAGTGCTCGAGGTCATAGGTCAGTTGCCAGTTGTCCCTGCTTCTTTGTTTGCCTTGTTTTAAATTTCTCCATTTATTTTGATTGGTTTTACATCGTTTGGTCGTTTGCTGTCGTTTTCATTATCTCATCAATTTTTGTCAACACTTGCAGACCACACACACCACACACACACATAAACACACATACACATATATACAACTAAACACACATACACACATGCCATACAACTAAACAGTGCAGTACAACTTCTTCCCGATGTTCAAGGAAGGCATGTACAACCAGACGGTCTACCCGCTGGACAATGTGACCCTCAGGTGTCCGATCTACAGCTCCATGGAAGCCATCATTATCTGGTTTAAAAGAAACGTCAACAGTAGCAGTAGTAGTAGTAGTAGTGGTAGTAGTGGTGACACCGGTGTTGCCGCTTTTAACGCTATCGGCGGCTTCCAAAATAATATTGTTGATGAAAATCTTGGAACTATGATTACGGTAATTTTTGTTTATGTTTTTTCTCATTCATTCATTCGTTCATTCGTTCGCTCATTCAATTATTCATTCATTTCTTCTTTCATTCACTCATTTATTTACTCACCACCGCCTGATTCTTTGTTACTTACTCAGTTCATGGACGGTGACTCTGGAGATCTGACCTTGTACAACGTCACAGCAGATGACCATGGTGAGTACGTTTGCTATGCTAAGAATTCCTACGGACACAACTACAAGTCAGTCTGGCTCAACGTCATCGAAAGAGGTTAGTCAGTTACTGTTGATGAACATTGTTGTCGTTGTTGTTGCTGTTGTTAGTGTTGATGACGTTGTTGTTGTTGGCGGTGTTGCTATTTTGCTGTTGCAGTTCAAATGATTTTACTTCATTTAAAAAAAATGTCAATTGACTTCTTTACAAATGCACAGAGGTGGAAATACAGTCATCCTTCTGGAATAGTATGATCATCGTCGTCGTCATCATCGTCGTCTTCCTTATCGTCGTCCTCATCGTCGTTTTAGTTAACATCGTTTGCTTTAGGCGTTCGAGAAATTCCTTCAAACAGGTCAGTAACATTTTTATTAATTATTATTTGTATTAATTATCACATCACGATTATGGCGATTGGAATGATTATTTCCTCTATGATGAATAACGATGACGATATGATGGTGCTGAAGATACTAGGATAACATGAGGACAAGATAATACGATTTTGAGTATGGTTTCATTGGTTTTTGTATGCAGTTTTTTTTGAAAAGAAACTGATTTTGTTGGTTTTCTGATCGTAAATATCGCAGCTGTTGTTATAATTGCTGTTGCATCGTTTACGATGTCCTACAAATAGAAGTACCACACAACACTCGTGCCACAACCCGGAGACTTGAGTAGGAAGCGCATAGTCATCCTGAAGGATAACTTCCTCTACGGATCAGACATCAACTCAGAGTCCTCTCTTCTCGGCACTCCGCAAGTTAAGTTGGAAAAGTTTTTCTTCACCAGTGACAGTCCCTTCGCATCTGGTGACCCCGGTAAGCTGCAGAATTTCTCCACATCCTCTGATTACGAGATCCCACTGGATAAGGCTTGGGAATTTCCAAGAGAAAAGTGAAGTTTCAAGTTTTTTTTTAAAATTTGTTTTAACTGTAATATATTCAGCTATTTGTAAACATTTGTTTGTGGTAAAAATAGAAATTTTCAAGTGAAAATAAATAAATCGTTAATGTACACAACAATGGCGTTACTACTGGAAATTGATATTTTTTCGATAACACTGAAAACCGACGACACTTTCGCACAGACTCCAGGTCAGCAGCATCCTTGGTGAAGGAGCATTCGGTACTGTGTACATGGCAACTGCAGTTGGTGTTGATTCATCCAATCCGGAAGCCTCTACTAAAGTCGCCGTCAAAATGCTCAAAGGTGGTTCTTATTTTATAAAAATTTACAATAACTACTCACATCCTCATCCTTATAGTTGCGTGGTTGATCTCTCTCTCTTCTTCTACCATCCAATCATTATTTTCATCTCTTTGCAGAGAACGCCAGTGACCAGGATGTTGTGGACCTGGTGCAAGAGATGGAGATGATGAAGATCATCGGGCGACACAAGAATGTTCTCAGTCTGCTGGGATGTTGCACTCAGAACGGCCCACTCTTCGTCATCCTGGAGTACGCTGCCAACGGCAACCTTCGAGATTTCCTCAGAGACAAACGACCGAAAAATTTCCGACTGCAGAACTGCGTGGTGGAGGTTCCAGTGGAGACGACTTATCAGAATCAGTTAACGGAAGGAGGAACTGAAAAGATAGTGCCGAAAGTGAAAAAGTTGGATTACTTGACTTACAAAGATCTAGTTACCTTCGCTCTGCAGATTGCTAAGGGCATGGAGTTTTTAGCTTCAAAAATGGTCAGTTTGGCTTGTTTTTTGTGGTTTATGTTGATGACTGCTGCTAAAAACTTGTTTTAACAATCAATGCCACACTCCTCACCCATCCATCCAATCACCAACAACCCATCAACCAGTGCATCCACAGGGACCTGGCAGCTCGAAACGTTCTTGTATGCGAGGATTACACGTTGAAGGTCGCAGATTTTGGACTGACGAGAAATGTTCTCAAGAGTGACTACTACAAGAAAAAAACTGATGTGTGTTTGTTTGTCTGTCTATCCGTTTGTTTGTTTGTTTTGCTTTCTCTCTGTGTATACATGCACAGGTTTGTTTGCATACGGTTTTGGAAGCCTCTACTATCTCGGAGAGCTTGTATGCTGGTTTACAAAAAAAAATTCAAATTGGGTTTTTATTTATTTGATTGTGTCTTTATTTTATTCTCTACTAAAGAATAATTTATCATATTAAATTTCAAATGAGAACTGTTTAAAGTGAACGAACCATTACGATCAATGATAATTATCATTGATAATTATATTATTATATTATAATATGACTACTATAATACAATACTCAACTGCGCTGAACACGTTAATTGTTTTTCATTCGCCAGGGTCGTCTGCCAGTCAAATGGATGGCCCCTGAGGCGCTTTTCGACAGGAAGTGTACAGTCAAAAGTGATGTGTTCGTATTGCAGTTGTTAATTATACATAATGTGCCATCGCCGTTATCGTATCGCTATGTTCGTCATCATCGTTATCGTCGTCAACGTTGTATTCGTCATCGCCATATTTTAACCAATCGACATCATTATATCACTATCGTCATCATCTTATCATAAAATTTGTCATCACTTTGTTATAGTCATTTATATTCGTCATCACTTTATCATTATCATTGTGATAACAGCTGGTCATACGGGATTCTGTTATGGGAATTGTTTTCACTTGGAGGCAATCCCTATCCGTCGGTTCCCGTTGAAAAGATCTTCCAACTCCTGAAGGCGGGGTATAGGATGGAAGCCCCTGTCTACTCATCCAATGAAATGTTAGGGGTGATGATTGTGGTGATTATGTTGCTGCTGCTGATGATGATGATTAGTGATGATGTTGATGACGACTGTGACCTTATATGATAATTATAATTGTGATGTATTGAGTACAGTTGTCGATTTTTTAGTTGAAGAATTTTTAAGGGAGATTACGTGAGGTTTTATCATTTGCTGTTATCATTTTCACCTCTGTAATTCCCACCACCAGTTACTCGCTGATGCTCTCCTGCTGGCATCAGAGCCCTGACCACCGACCAAGCTTCAACAAGATCGTCAACAGTCTCCATTCTGTCCTCAGATCTGTCGAGAACCAGGTGATTAATTGATTGATGGGTTGGTTGGTGAGTTGATTGATTGGTTGATTGATTGGTTGGTTGAATACTTGATTGTTTGGATGATTTACAGACACCGACTAATTTGATTGACAAACTCTGATCGACTGACTGATTTTTTCACTGTAGAATTAATTACATGTAGAAACTTGGTAGCTAGATACAATCTTGAATTAGTTTTATTTATTTACTCATTCTTACTTAATTATAAAATTAATTAACTACTTATTTAAGATATAATGAATAATTATGAAATAAATTATCAGGAATATTTCAACTCGAGTTCCGACCGTCCAGCGAGCCAGCAAGAATCGCCATCGTCGGACAGCCTCTACTCATCAGCATCTTCACCTGAGAGCTACTATGGGTCCAGGATATGATGATGTTAACGATGACGATGATGATGACGTAATAATAGAATGTAATGATGAGATGGTGATTATGACGACGATGATGGAGGTAATAGTGATGATATCATTATACTCGTTGAGAATAAAAGGTAAAAAATATTATTATAGTTGATTACGACAGTGATAGCGAATACTTCAAAAATTTTACCGTTACAGCAGCAACAACAACAACAACAACAATAGTAATAATGTAGTAAAATACTAAACAGCAGCGATAAAGATCATCATACATTATTGTCTGTAGAAAGAATACTGTTAAAGGCCACCGTTATTGTAGGATGATGTTATCACTGTCTGTCTTTTGATTTTTTTGTTTATATTTTATTTGTGATTTATTTTACTGCGGTTATTCATAATAACCTGTATAATATTACGTTACTACAACTATTATTATTATTCTATGTTATTATTATTATTATTATGTTTTTCTTTTTTCCCTTGTTATAAATGTTATTCATCATCCGTCAATGGCATTTAACAATGACTTTTTAATACTTTGTATACATATATGCATTATTATATGTATTTGCGTGTGCGTGTGCGTGTGTGTGTGTGTGTGTGTGTGTGTGTGCGTGCGTGCGTGTGTTGAAAATTGAAAAAACAAAATTCAATATATACGTTCTAACTTAGTTTCAGATTTGACAGATATGTATGTTATGGTATTTTGCGTAAAAGAACAACAGTAACAACAAAATTTATAATAACAACTATAATAACAATAATTATAACAATAATAATAATAACAATAACACGCTTCATCATCATCATTATGATTATTATTCTACCAATAACTGCCTTTTTAATTTTTAAAACACCAGTGCAAATTTTTAACTGACTCGATAGGAACCATAATGATAAAAATAATAATAACATCTAATAACAAGAATAATAATAAACAAGAATCTAATAATAACAAGAATAATAATAACAAGAATGATAATAATAATAATGGGAATTTTTTTCTTATTAGCGAAAAAGCAAATTTTTTTCTATCTCGCACGCAATATCTAAAATTATCGCGTGTTTAAATTCGAAAATTGAGAACGACTGAATGGCTGGCTGGTTGGCTGGCTGGCTGGCTGGTTGGCTGGCTGGCTGGCTGGCTGGCTGGTTGGTTGGCTGGCTGGCTGGCTGGCTGGCTGGCTGGTTGGTTGGCTGGCTGGCTGGTTGGCTGGCTGGCTGGCACTCGATTGCGGTGCATTTTGAAAAGTTAACTCTCATCATCATTTAAAAAAAATTCAATTTAATTAAATTAGATCGAATTATATTAAAGTTGTTTAATTAAGTGTACTGATGATTTAGGGCTGCGTGATTTAATTAGGCGAAGTTTTATCCAGTAAAAATGATTTCAAATTTTGAAAACATGCTTTTATCTGATTAATTTCTCTTTCTATATATAAGTTTTTAAATACGAAATAATAAATCTATCAGTGATGAAAATATTAAGAAAGAAATGATTGAATAATTTTTGTATATAAATATTTCAATTAAAGTTCGCAACGGTACACACACGCATACCACACACACACACACACACACACACACACATTATATATATATATGTATATATATATGCGTATAAAAAATCGCCTTTTTGTATAGTTAGAAAGATTTTTCTTAGACTTTTCAATTACATTTGGCTGTTTTTTGCAGTTTTTTTTAAACAATTTGAAAACCTTTTTTGCTCTCCTACTTGATTCAAACTTTTAATTCCCTTTTCTTATCCTTAAATTGGATAGCTGTTTTTTTCTCATTTTGTTTGTTTGTATACCTTTTTTCATTATTATTTGTTTTAGTTCGGTTTTATTTTTTATGTTTTTCCAGATTAATATATACACACACACACACACACACACACACACACTTACATGCATTTACTGTCATCCGTACTATGGCCTACAATTTTATTAAACTTTTCTTTAATAGTTTTGTCAGTTTTAGTTTTTTAATCTCTTTATATTTTATGTACCTTTATGTACTTTTGGAGAAGCTATTCATTCATGTATATCTATATATGTATGTACTTTTATATGTTTGTATGTGTAGTTATATATAAAGTATTGTATGAATTATATCGAATTGTTGACGGTAAAACTCATACAATGTGCCTGTGTGTTTGTATATATATATATATGTATATATATGTTTATATTTAGGAACGAGGTTTTCAGAAATGCAAATTTCATTGAAATTGTTTGCCCATTTTGCTTTAATTAACTTCTTTATAAGACATTCAACGAGGCGGTATTGTTTGAGTTCATATTTATCTAAAACTGGAATAAAGCTAACAGCGCTGTTTCGGCGTAACGCCATCTTCAGAGCCTAAATATTGTTTAAACATATAATTTAATTAAAATAAATGCCTAATGTAAAATGTGAAAATATAGAAAATAAAATATGTATTAAATTGTGAAATAAATTAACCTTGTTGTAAATATCATAATAACTAAAGTTTGTTCAACCGCAATAGTATTCACAACGCATACACAGCAATATTATATATCTGGCGCACATGTCATTCGTAATTAGTTTTCACTAACGTTTTTCAAACATGTTAAAACTTTTATAAAATTTCTATATTTTAATTATTTTACTAAACATTTTATTTAAATTACATTATTTTATTTATATAATCTACATAAACTTTAGTTATTATGATATTTACAACAAGGTTAATTTATTTCACAATTTAATACATATTTTATTTTCTATATTTTCACATTTTACATTAGGCATTTATTTTAATTAAATTATATGTTTAAACAATATTTAGGCTCTGAAGATGGCATTACGCCGAAACAGCGCTGTTAGCTTTATTCCAGTTTTAGATAAATATGAACTCAAACAATACCGCCTCGTTGAATGTCTTATAAAGAAGTTAATTAAAGCAAAATGGGCAAACAATTTCAATGAAATTTGCATATATATGTTTGTATATACTTTTTGTATTATGTAAAAACCGTATCTAACCATGTATCTGTGTATCATATATCTATGTATCTATCTGTCATTTTCCCGAAGTATTATTCTCCATAGTTAACTTTTACCAGGTCACTTTATTCATTTTATCATTGCCAATCGTCTTTTGGTTGGTTTGTAATATTAATAAATAAATAATGAATAATAATGCCCATTGTTCAACGCCCTATGTTTATAATCACTATGTTATAATATATTGTGTTTATCATTATCATTATTATTATTATTATTATTATTATTATTATTATTATTATTATTATTATTATTATTATTATTATTTTAGCCTCTTGATAAATTTATCACAATGTCCTTAAATGTACATAGGCGTGGTTTAACAACTCTATACACACACACACATACGAACGTGTACATACACATACATACACGTACATACATACGCACATACATACACACATAACATGCGCATACATACATACAATACCATACCATACCTTGAGTAAATTTTTTGTTAAAAGGCATTTCATATCATTGATTGATGAACGGTTTTAATTATTTTGTAATCATTAATTAATTAATAAATTAATTAATTAGTTGCGTGATTAATTGATTTATAGCACTAAATGTATCTATGTATCACTCTGTTACTGTATGTATTCTTGTTTGTATGTAGTTTTGTATGCGGTGTACATATATGTATGTGAGTTTGCGTGTGTTTGTTTGTGTGTGTGATTGTTTGTTTGTTTGTGTGTGTGTGTTTGTGTGTTTGTTTGTGTGTGTGTGTGTGTGTGCGTCTTGGTTTCATCCTGTTTCGTGGTTTATGTATGTACTGTTTCCCGTCATATCCTCTTGTTGATTGGTTTTATTTTAATATATCGCTTTCAACAGCGCAGTGCAAACAAAACACACAGACACACACAAACACGTACACACTAACATATACACAAAGGTACAAATTCACACACGCACACACATACACACCCACACAGTACGTCACACCAAATGGTGTCTTACTGTCTTGCATTGTATTTCTGTGTAGTGTACTGATGTACTGATGTTTGTGTTAATTTGTATCTATTTGTCGTGTTTTTTACCGAATTTTTATTTTGTATACAATTTAACTGTATTGTTATGTACGCTGTGTGTGTGAGTGTGTGTGTGAGTGTATATGTGTGTGTGTTTGCATTGAATATGTGCCTTATTATCCTACCTTAAATAACTTTAATATTTTCTCAATCAATCCTTGTTTATCACCGTCTTTGGGTGTTGTCAATCCTTCGTTGTTTTTTGGGGGGAATTTAATGATAAGATGTATGTCTGTGGATGTGCGTGTTTGTCTGCGAACGTGTGTGAACATAAGGCGAACGTGTGTGAACATAAGGCGAACGTGTGTGAACATGTGCGAACGTGTTAAGACATGCGATCAGATGTTCCTACTCTTCTTTATCCTCACCTGAAGAGCCATAAAATTAAAGAAAAAATTAAAATAATATTTGAAAACAAATTTTTTAAAATGTAATTCACTTTTAATTTTTTAAAAATATTTCGCTTTAATGCTCAAGTTTTAAAATATTAAAAAATGATTAAATTTTAAGTTCTTAAAACAATTTAATTCTCATTTTATCTTTTTTCTCTCTATAATTTCAT